TCACCAGGCTCACCCATCCCCTTTACCCCTCTAAAACCCTCAGTTTGATTCCCGGAGTCCATAGTCTCTCATGGTTCGTCTCCCCCTGTGATTTCCCCCCTTCATTTTCCCCTTCCTTCTCCTAATGTCCGCCAGGCTATAGCTGATACCAGAGCATTTATCTAAAGACAGTCTCTTTGGAGTCTCTGGCCAGTGCTAGGATGACTTCCTGCCTGGAAACAAGACAGGGAAGTGCTGGAAGGGGTGCATGCCAAAAGGGCTGGGGCCTGAAAGCAGTAGGGCTCAGTTAGTGAAACCACCAGAGTCAGCTAGGGAGCTTTAGAGAACACATCAGTGCTGTCCTGCCTTAGACCAATTAAATTCTAAACCTCTGAGCAGGGTGGGAGAAGGAAGAGAGCAAGCAGTTATATTTTTTAAAGCTCCCCAAATGCTTATAATAGGTAGCCAGGGTTGAGAACCCCACCATTCCAGGGCTTCCTTTAACTTGCTTCTGCCACTGGACTGGGCCTCCTCGTGAGAGGCTTCCGGAAAGAACAGGGGAAAGAAGAGGACATTGCCCAGGAACCTGCTCCTCATAGCACCCTCCTCAGGAGTTGGCCAGGGCTTTCCCTCTGCTCAGCACTTGGCAGAAACCAAGTGGGAAGAGAAAAGAAGATTATGGTTAGCATTGCCTGCCCTCACAGAGCTCTCAAAACAGCTGGGGAGTCCATATTAGCACATAAGAAACAGTGGCAGAACCGTGAGGCATTAGGCTGCAGCCAGGGTTAAAAGGACAGATTCTGAGAGTTCCACTAGGGCGGGGGTGGGGTGGGGGGCAGGAGGTCGACATGGAGGAGATGGAGCCTCCTAAAGATGTGTAAGAGAGGGGCACAAAGGGAGTACGAGGAAGGCAGTTACGAGAACAGTGCACAGAATGAGCAAAGTCACAGAAAAGGCCTGGGGTGGCACAGTGACGAGACCACTCTAGGGTGCAGGATGTCCCTGGAGAGTAGCAGGAAATCCACTTTGATGATTTAAGTAGAGTGGGGCCAAATTATGGAGGGCTGATGTACTAGCCTGAGTAATGTAAGCATCATACGGTAGAGAGTACAAAGACACTGTGGAGTCTTGAGTAATGATAGTGTTTTCCAGTAATCTAACAGAGTATTCGAAGAAACCAGAGGTGGCAAGACTGAGTAATACAACAATCCCAATGTGAAAGACAAATAAAGGCCTATGTGGTCACTGTGGAAGCACAAAGAAAAAGAATAAATCCTAGAAATAGGTTTACATTCTAAATAAATAAACAAATAAAAATGGATCATGAACTTTAATGTAAAACATAAAACTAAAACTTTTAGAAGAAAACAAAGGAGAGAATCTTCAGGGTCCAGGAGTAGGCAAAGAGTTCTTAGACTTGAATCAATGGAATTATAATGGTGACAGATGGTAGTTACATTATGGTGAGCACAGCATAAGGTGTAAACTTGTGGAATCACTATGTTCACACCTGAAACTAGTTAACACTATGTGTCAACTATACTTCAATTAAAAAAAAAGTTCTTAGACTTGATACCACAAACATATTCCATAAAAGAAAGAAGTGATAAAATGAACTTTATCAAAATTAAAAACTTTTGCTCTGCAAAAGACCTGGTTCAGAGGATGAAAAGACAAGCTACCGACTGGGACAAGATACTTGCAAATTACATTTCTGACATGGGCTAGATGGCTAGAACTCTCAAACCTGACAGTAAAAACCAAATGATCCAATTAGAAAATAGGCAAAAGACATGACAAGACATTTCACCCAAGAGGACACATAGGTAACAAATAAGTACACGAAACAATGTTCAACATTATTAGCCATTAGGGAAATGCAAATTAAAACCAATATGAGGGATCACTACACACCTATCAGAATGGCTAAAATAAAAAATAGTGATAACAAATGCTGGAGAGCATATGGAGAGACTGGATCACTCACACAATGCTGGTGTGCGTGATGTAAAATGTAAAATGTGTATGTAAAATGGAATGCCACTCTGGAGAACTGGTTCTGTTTCAATAAAACTAAGCATGCAACTACTACAAGACCTAGCAATTGCACTCCTGAGCATTTATCTCAGAGAAATGAAGACTTACGTTCACACAGAAACCTGTACATGAATGTTTATAGCAGCTTTATTTATAATAGCCCCAAATTGGAAACAACCGAGATGCCCTTCAATGGGTGAATGATTAAACAAACTGTGCTACATCCATACCCTGGAATACCATTCAGCAACAAAAAGGAACAAACCACTGATGTACGCAACAACCTGGATAAATCTCCAGAGAATTATACTGAGCAAAATAGTGCCAATCACAGAAAGTTCATACTATATGGTTCCCTTTATATAACATTACTTAAAATGAGGAAACTTTAGAAATGGAGAACACATTAGTGGTTGCCAGAGATGAGGGGGCAGGAGGGAAGTGCGTGTGGCTCTAAAAGGGCAACTTCAAAGGGGTGCTTGTGGCAATAAGAATGTTCTATATCTTGCCCCCATTGACATCAATATCCTGGCTGAGATAATGTATTATAGTTGTGCAAGAGAGTACTACTGGGGGAAACCCAGGTAAAGGTTATATATCTCTCTTACAACAATCACAATTACCTCAAAATAAAAAGTTTATTAGGAAAAACAACTGTATACTCACATATGTGTCTGCAACTTACTTTATAAACATACTATAGGCATGTACATAAAAAAAGAGTGAGATATAGAAAGTGTTGCAAAATGTTAATAATTGGTGGCTGTAAGTGTACTCGTCTTTCAAGTTTTCTGGAAGTCTGAGAGTTTTCAAAATAAAGCACTGAGGGGAAAAAAGAATAGTCTCTAGTTTCTAGATCCTTTGATTTCCTCTTTCAGATGTTCCATAGCAAGATTACTCCTATTTGGCTGAGCTCTGCGTGTCCCTAAGTACCCACAGCCTGGAGAAAAAGACAACAACTATGTAGCCTTAGCCTCTGAGGACTGATCTAAAGGGGATTAAAAAACACTCTGACAACTGGAGACGGAGCATGTTACAGGGTAAAATATAATCACGTATGTTTTATTGTGGAAAAAGCCAGCGTTATTATCACTCTGCTCAGCATATTTGGAAAGCATGCAGTTTCATGCCTGTCAATAAGAAAACTGGCTTTTTGCTTTTCTTTTTTAAAGCATGAATCCATTTAACTTCTCTCAAGTACAAGAACCCCTGAGTGACAGCGCTCCTCTGAGAACTCTCTTCAGCTGTTCCGGGGAAGGCAGCAGAGGTGTGTTATCTCCCTAAACAACAGCACTGATCTGGAGTCCTGCAGACCGGGGCTGCAGACCGGGGCTTGAGCCGCTGACTGCACAAACTGGCTAGATGGGCCTCAGTGAAAAATGGCAATCATAACAAGACTAGCGTGGGATTTCCTGTGAGGATTTCCCGGGCACACGGAATATAAAGGGCTTAAGCACACAGTAAGAGCGCAATACAGTTTGCTATTTTAAGTAGTCTTTAAAATTATTTCATTAAGGCTCTTTGATAAAAAGTAATTTTTAAAATATAAATAAATGAATAAAATCATTTCATTAAAGCCAAGCAGCCAAAAGTACATTTTACAAGAACTTCTCATAAAATTATTTTAAAGTTAACATTTACCTCATATTGTTTTAGAATCATATGAAATAATGCATATAAGAGTTATAAAATTATAATTTTATAGCTTTATGGAAATTATACAAATATAGGAATTGTGCTTACAAACAGCATAATATAGTGGAATGAATACAATATTTAAAATCAGAAGACCCAGAGTTAAGTCCTGACTCTACTGCTTACTGGGCCATGTGCTTTCTGGATAGTACTCAAACTGCCTCAGATTTCTCATTTTCAAAAATGAAATAATATCCTCTATGTGATAGAACTGTAGAGATTAAAGTTTAAAATCTACACAAGAATACTACATAAAATTAAAGCACTCGTGACATTAACAAGTGTTCACATTTCCTGCATGAAATGTCATTCATTATAATTAAATCTGTCAAAGTGTGTAGAAAATTTCTAAATACAAATGATTAAGAAAAATTAGGGGCTTTTAAAAAACAGGGCCACTTGAAACTAAAATCTCTAATCTACCTTTACATAAAGTCAAATGCATATATTCAAAGTATTTCACTAGAGACTTCTACTGAGTTTTTTAGGTAGCCTTATGTTTGCAGTCCTGAATCTTTCTAACATTCTTTCTATGCAAGCCAGAGAAATGTGTCGCTTACAAAAGTTAGGTCAAAAGGTATTGCTTGCTGTACCATGTTTCAGCAAAGACATTCCTCAGTTTGAGTTACTAGCATGGTTACCCCTCCCGTCCCTACAAATCTGTGCTTCCTGTCTTCTCAGGAATGCCAGTACCCATCTCCCTATCAACAGCTGCAAAGCCTCCTGGCTCTGTAAGTCTTCAAGTCCTAGTAGTCTTCCTCCTCAGTGTCATTCCCTCACCCCCGATCCCTACTGCCATTCTCAGAGTTCACTCTCACTGCCTTCTGCCTTAAGTAAAAGAATCACCTCCCAACTAATTTCCTTTCTTCTAATTTCTCTGCTCTGGCAATCCATCCTATTCCTCACTACTAAATTAAATATCCTAAAATCCTGCTTTTGCTGTTCCCTGTTCAAAGACTTTCCCAAAAGTACAAAATCCTCACGCTGAAGTATAAGCAGAGCCCCGAGACTCAGTAATCAATCCCCAAAAAATCTAGAAATAGCCTTTACCGCCACAGGCAGATGACATACTACCACGGAAACCTGGCACAGAAGAGTGTTAACATTAAGTACACTGGGATCTAGGTCCATTCAAAATAGAGATGTAGATCATAAAGCTAAAAGAGGCTCAAAAGAGAGGCAAAGAGCTCAGACATTATTTTTATTTATTTAAGTGCACAATTAAGAGAATTAATACCTGAAACAAACAATAATAGGAAAGTGTTTCTCAAAAATTGGAGAGAACCTACCTGGTAAAGGCAGGCTGCTGTTCCAAGGAAAAATGCAACAATGTAATTAAAATCTTCACCATCACTCTGCAAAAAAACAAAATTAAAAATTACTTTTTTCCTGGTGGAAGCCCATTTCCAAAAATAATCCATCGATACGGCAATGTTTATGCACAAATGGTCAAATTTTTATCAAAATGGCATATAAAAATTCTCAAGAGTCCTAAAAGTTCCAAGGAGTGTGAGGTACAGAGACTACCAGTCTTCCTCTATATTTTGGCCCATCAGTTTCATCTTACCCATGTGTGAAAGGTGAAATGAAAATGAAATCACTTATGTCAAAGGGTTTTAAAATGGTGTCAGAGGCCATCTCCTCTAGATTTACGCACGTCCTCACCTGATGAAACCATGAACTTTGAACTGGGCCAAACTACAAATATTCCAAGGACTCTGCCCAAACCCCTGCAATTTGCTACAGTAAGAGAATTTGCTTAGGGACAGCCTTAGCAACCAATTATATTCAGCCAAGATTAGTTTTCTGATGCCAACACCAAACAAAATTCTTTGTAAACAACACATACAAACATTCCTTTCTGTCTTCTTTAAACTCTTGATTTTGTACCCTAAAGGGACACAATTTGGGTTGCTACCCAATCTGTGCTCCCCAAGTTGCAATTCTGAGACCCCAAATAAATGCTCTTGTTTTATTTCAGCTCTGCCTCTTTTCTTAGTCAACCCAAGAAAAGATGTAAGCCAATGGGAAAGTTTCCACATAAAGTAAAAAACCTCTCTTCTCTACTGGAAAAACAACAACAACAACAACAACATAGAAAAATGTACAACACCCCAGTGGCCTATAAAGTCAGTCCTGCTCACTAGGATCACCACGTGACTTAAATAAATATTGACAAACCTTACTATAAGGTAAGTACATCATTGAATCGCCCAATAAAGTAATTTGACATGATTAAAAAAAAACAAAAACAAAAACTGAAAAGTTACTGTCCACTAGAGTGTGCTAAATCCCAATGAGAACAGTCACACAGGCTGTGCAAGAAAAACAGCCACCCAGAAGAAAAAGAGATACATCATACGCAGAATGTTTCTTTTCAAAGAAAACTAATGGAAAACTAACAGAAAACCCAAGTTTTTCTATTCTCTTTTGATTCTTCTTAAATATCTACATTAAATTTCTTTCAGTGTTTTACGAGGTAAAACATAAAGCCCAGGCAGGAGCATTACATTTGGCCCTTATTTTAGAAAAAATATCTTTACACAATGAAAATTTTCACAAGACATGGGAGTGTCTCTCATGACCATATCTTCATGAAATAATATAGAGAAAATTCCTTTTCCACTTGCTATTGGGCAACAGAACTGACCATAAGGCAGAGGGAGAGTTGCTTATCTTAGTGAGATGATCTTAAAATAGGAACCATTAATCTGTCTGGGATGCTTAGGTCTGTTCTACCTCAGAGGCGCAGAAGGTCACGAAACCTTTCTAACTTAAATAAATCTAAGACTTTAAGTTCTGCTTTTTTCTTAATCCTTTATTTTTTAAATGATTTTTTTTCTGATTATAAAAGCGTATGTTCATTGTACAGAATCCGGAAAACAGACTGTTACAAAGAAGAAATTCATATAGTCTATAATACCATAACCCTGGGATTATTACTAACCATTTCATGTATTTCCTTCCGATCTTTCTATACAAAAATATATGTACATTAAAAAAATGGAATCATACTTTTATATACTGCTTTTTAGTACTACACATTATATCATAAACACTTTCTCAAGATACTGAATATTCCTCAACCACATGATTTGTAGCGATTATATAACCTTTCACTGTGGGGATATACCATTGATTTAATTACCCTATAATTGGATATTGTTTTTTTCCCTTAATTTATAATATCACTTTTTAACTCTCCTAATTGCCTTTGGAACACTTAAGAGCATGTTCCTGGAGTCAGTCAGACCTGGATTCAAGTCTTTACTTACTATCTGTATGGTCTTGGACTATTTAACTTCAATTTCCTTTTTTAAAAAATAAAAGTTGTAGAGATTAAATAACATTTGCAAACACACAGAACGCTAACTGCACATAGTAAGTACTCATTCATTCACCAACTTCTCTCTCCCTGAGGTTACTGTCTGCATCATTTATCAGATAATTAGATTACCTTCTAGTATTGTTTAAACCTGTAGTATACTGGCCTTATCTTCTCAAGTAGACCCCAACCTTTTTTTTTTTAATTGAGGTATAAGTGACGTATAACATTATATCAGTTTCAGATGCACACCATAACAATTCTTTATTTGTATATATTGCAAAATGATCAGCACAATAAATCTAGTTACCCTCTGTCACCAAAGTTACAAAACTTTTTCTTGTGATGAGAACTTTTTAAGTTCTCTCTTAGCTATTTTCAATACACAACGCAATATTATTAACTATAATCACCATGTTGATGTTACATCCCCATAACTTATTTATTTTATCACTGGAAATTTGTACCTCTTGATCCCCTTCACCCATTTTGCCCACCCCCCCAATCCCACCACCCTAACCTTTCTTCAAGGCAGAAAATCAATCTTAACTACTTGCACGAAACTGCACATAGTAGGAATTCAACAAATGCATGCCAAGTTGAGTTGAGCTTAAAAAAATCTATTTCTACTTGCCAAAGATTGTCTATAAATATATTTTCCATTCAATAAATACTCATTAAACACTTAGGAGTCAGGTATTATATTACTAGACCTAGAATAGAAGACAACTAAATCCATATGAACTCAAGGAGCTTACTTTCTGATTAAGAAGACAGATATATTAACCAACAATTCCCATTCAAAGTGATAACTGATGGGACAGGTGTGTGTACAGGGTATAAAAGGAGACTACTGGAGACACATCTAATTCTGCCTGGAGAAAAAAAGAGTCAGAAAAGGTGTGCTCAAGGAAGTAAAGCTTAATCTGAGTCTTGAAGAATGAACTAGTGGAAAGGTAGAGAAGGCAGGGAGAGAATTCCAGGCAAAGGGAGTAGCACATACAATCTCAAATAGGAAAGAGCCTAGGACGACTCCAAGTCGTCTTGTTAAGGAAACATTTGAATGATACCATTCACTAAGTTGGGAATACAGGAGGAAAAGTAGGTTTAAGAGCAGAAAAAAATGAGTTCATTTTGGACGTGCTATTTTGGAGGGGCCAGTGTGATATCCAAATAATTACATTTCATAGATTTTAAGTCAGCTTCAGGAAAGAGTTGGATCTAGAGATCCTACTTTAGTCATCTATTTAAACAGTTGCTAAATGAAGGCCTAGGACAATCAAATGTGAGTCTTAATTCTTGATTGGCTCCTAGAATGGAGAGAGAAAAAAAACTATAAAAGATATTTAGTCAATTGTAGAAATTTGAATATGAATTTTATATTAGATAATACTGCACTGATCTTAAAAATCTTTGGTGTAATAAAGTTATTGTGATTATGTAGGAGAATTCCTAGTCCTTAAGGCATACATACTGAATAATTTTGAAATAAACTGTCATGATACCTACAATTTTACTTTCACATGATGAAGGAAGGAAGGAAGGAAAGAAGGAAGGAAAGAAGGAAAGAAGGAGGAAAGAAGGAGGAAAGAAGGAGGAAAGAAGGAGGAAAGAAGGAGGAAAGAAAGAAGAAGGAAAGAAGAAGGAAAGAAGGAAAGAAGGAAAGAAGGAAAGAAGGAAGGAAGGAAGGAGAGAAGGAAAGAAGGAAAGAAGGAAAGAAGAAGGAAAGCAGGAAAGAAAGAAAGAAAGAAAGAAAGAAAGAAAGAAAGAAAGAAAGAAAGAAAGAGAAGGAAAGAAGGAAAGAAGGAAAGAAGAAGGAAAGAAAGAAAGAAAGAAAGAAAGAAAGAAAGAAAGAAAGAAAGAAAGAAGGAAAGAAAGAAGGAAAGGAAAGAAAGGAAGGAAGGAAGGAAGGAAGGAAGGAAGGAAGGAAGGAAGGAAGGAAGGAAAGAAAGAAAGAAAGAAAGAAAGAAAGAAAGAAAGAAAGAAAGAAAGAAAGAAAGAAAGAAAGAAAGAAAGAAAGAAAGAAAGAAAGAAAGAAAGAAAGAAAGAAAGAAAGAAAGAAAGAAGGAAAGAAAGAAAGAAGGAAAGAAAGAAAGAAGGAAAGAAAGAAAGAAAAAGAACGGTAAGTAGGTATATAGGTGGGTGCTAATTATATTGTTTTTTTAAATCTTTCTGTAAGTTTGAATTCTTCCAAAACAAAATGCAGTGGGAGGAAAGGGGAATACAAATTTTTGTTTTAATGCTATGCAACCACTAAAATGAATGTAACAGATCTCCATACACTGATATAAAGTCATCTCCTACATATTGTCAGGTGGAAAAGATACAACTAAGTATGGAGTATACTGCCATTTATATAGAAACACTTTGAAAACAATTATGTAAGTAAATATATAAATTCATATGTACTAGCACATACACATTATCCCTCTAGGAGGATAACCCAGTGGTTGACTCTAGGGAAGAGAGATGGGAAAAGAATGACTTATTGTGACAACAGGCTTTGGAATTATAGGTTTTGAAACTGTAGGCATGTGCACACTTTACTGTGTGAGGATGTGTGGGTATGTGCACAGATTAACTTCTTTTAAAAAGGCCATCATGAGGGCGCCTGGGTGGCTCAGTCGTTAAGCGGCTGCCTTCGGCTCAGGTCATGATCCCAGAGTCCTGGGATCGAGTCCCACATCGGGCTCCCTGCTCAGCGGGAAGCCTGCTTCTCCCTCTCCCACTCCCCCTGCTTGCGTTCCTGCTCTCACTGTCTCTGTCAAATAAATAAATAAATAAAATCTTAAAAAAAATAAAATAAAAGATAAAAAGGCCATCATGAAAATACCGAAAGAGAAGTTGAAAAGTTAAGAAGAATATAAAGCCAAGGGCAGAACTTTGGAGAATACCACTATTTAAAGGACAGGTGAAGCAAGGAAGTTTACCAAATAAACCGAGGAATAGGAAGACAAAGAAAAAAAATACAACAGGAGAAAATGGTTTCACGAAAATGAAGGGATAAGAGAATGTCAAGAAGAAAATGTA